TAATATATTTCATTTCAGTTTAAAAAATAAAATAAACTATAATAAATTTCATGTTCATTTAGTTTACTCAAATTTTTTATTTATTTTTAATTGATTTTTTTAATTTTTTTATTTAATATTTTCAACATGTGGCTGATTATGAATTACACTATGTTAATTATTTTAGTTTTTTTTTATAATATTGTTTTAGTCTCATAACTCACATCACGAGTTTTACGAGTTAACTCGAGTAGACTTAGGTTGTTTTATTATGTTATTTTTTTAGATTAAATTTTTTTCAAATTTCATCATTCAACAATGAATTTATTAGAAATTTAACTTCATATTTTTTTTATTTAGAGTTATCTTGGTCTCATGATCTAAATTGTGAATTTGAAAGTTTAATCCGAATTGACTCAAGTTAATCCAATATATTGTCATCTTAATACTTTAAAAAAAATTATTATATTAAAATTTTTTTGTCAAATTATATTTTTATCAGCCGTTTATATTATTTTAAAACTTATTGAGTAAATTGGATTATATTAAGTCAACTATTATATTAAGTTAACTCGAAATTATATCATTCAAATTTTAAAAACAAATAAAAATATTCTATATATAAATCATATAACCCTGAAAAAACACTTCAAAATACTATAAAACCAAAATATACGGTTTCAATTGAAAAAATAAAAAAACAATTGGACCTAACAAGCAACAGTTGGGCAGTCAGATATGGCTGCAATCCATAGTCCTAATTAATCATTCTTAATTCTTTATAAGCTTAGATAATCGTTTTATATCCTTCTATTTTAATCTTAGTACAATGTGCACTTCTTCAATAAACTTTATAAAACTTGTGGGTCTTCGTATTAGTGAAAGGTGTAATGATCCACAGTCTCGGCAACAAAGGCGTATCCGGTGCCGACTTTCGACGCAGGCCCTCGTTTTAAGCCGCGCGTTTGCTTCGAAAAGTCCTCTTCCCATCACATGCTTGCGTGTGGGTGCTTCGATATAATATTAGGCACATTCCCTTTGCTAGGTCAACAAATACGGTTTGAGGTTCCATGGGGGACTCCTCATTTTGCTTAGGAAAGGGAAGGGTGATAAAACCTTAAACAGCATAATGCATGTTTATTAATAATATTATTGGAAGTTCGTTTACGATACAGGATCCTGTTGGAAAAACTTAAATTATCTTCTTTTTTTGCCCTAATCATGGGTGATAATATTACAAATTGTCATAAAATGATAATATTACAATGTTTCGGTGAAAACAGTCAAAATTTTGGAAATTCAGTGTATCAAGTGCTAAGACGTACAGTGATAAAATATGAATACAGTGACACCCAAGAAGCCACCACTCAAGCAATATGCTCTTTTACCCTCACGAGGGAGAAGCTTCTTGCTTGGATCGGCTCATGGATTTATTTATTTTTTGGGTGAACACATTTAACAGTTGCCAACTTCCTACACTTCTTCCTCCATGTGTAAATATATAGATGAACCCGTATGGCCATGAAATGCCTGCAGGAAATCATAGTGGTTATTGACAGGGGAAAGAAAACAACAGAGAGAGAAGCCAAGATGAAGAGCGACAGATCCATGCCTCCTCAACACCATGGCTCAATAACTTTTGAAGCGAGAAATGACGTTCACAGGTCCAAAGAGGATAAAGCAGCGGTGAGGTCTCTTGTTGTGGAGGATAAAGCAACACATAACAAGCTAGCGAGCAAACCATCTCTAGACATAGATGCAAGCGCTGAGGCATTCATTAAGAAATTTAGGCAACAACTTATGATCCAGAGGCTTGAATCCATTGAGAATTATGAGCAGATGCTGGCAAGAGGTCTCTGATTAATTTGCCATCGTACGTAATCCTTGAGTATATGTAATGTCATCGTTATGTTTAATCTCGTATTGTTTTACGCGTTGTAACTTGTTTCCTCTCTTTAATGCTCTCATGTGCACGTATGTTTTACAAAGCAAGCATGCATCAGAAGAATAAAGTTGCTCAATTGAGTATGAAGTTCTTCTGTGCTAAAGTTTATATAATTATATCTTCTGTATGAATAATCGGCTTCTTTCCCTTTTTTTTTTCTCTCCATTTTTTGTGATTTTGGCTATTGATTTGATCAATGAAACATCTTTTATCTTTCAAAGATGATGAATCTGTCTGTGAATTATATCTTCTGTATGAATAATCCATTTTTTCTCTCCATTTTTTGTCATCCTTGGAAATAATAACCTTCAGATTCAATCCCATAATGGAACCAGGATACTTGGAACAGCCAAAGGGCAGGATGTGGTCTGTTTGGTTCAAACAAAAGTCAAATTACCGTTTCTGATTCAAGTCTTAAAAGAATGAAATTCATGGGATCTGTTGTGGAATCCATTGATTCAGAGGGTCACTCCTTGAAATTTTTTTATTATAGTGGTGATAAAATCTCTATTTTTAAAAAAATTTCTTTGATTTTTTATTGTGGTGGTGGTGAATTTGTAATTTTTGAGTTTTTTTTTTAAAGAGTTTTTCTTAGTTAAATTTGTTCTTTTTCTACTTGATATTTTTTTATTATTTTACACCTAATCTATTTATCACCATTTTTTTTCTTATCTTTATTTTTTTAGTTTTTTTCTTTACTCTTTTGTTTTGTTTTAAAAAATATATTCTTTACATTTGAAATATTTATCATTCTACACTTGATCTGTTTATACCATTCTTTTTGTTCTTACCTTCATTTTTTTATAATTCACTTTTTAATTATTTTTTTGAACTATTTTTTTTTAATTATTAAACAAAGACTAAGAAAATGATGTGTTAATAAAACAATTGAAATATGGTCTCATAATAAAACAATTGAGATATTGTCTCATTCTTATACTACTTTAAAAATATAGTTGAGATTTTATAAGTCTTTATTAACACATATTATCTTTATTATATTAGTATCCATTTATTAATTTATAATTATATTTGTTTACTTTATGTTAAAAAATACTTTAATAACACCTATATATTAATTTATTTGTGCTAAAAAAATTTGACCTACAGCTAGAAGATGCATTAACACTTTTATTTTACATTTATTAACATAAATAATTCTTAATTTATTTAATTAAATATATGAGTATGTGTATGTATATTTTTAAAAAAAAAAATTATCTTACATGTATCAAAACATGAATGAAATTACTAATATTATCCAATATCGATAATCTCTCGATAAAATAGGGATTTAATTAAATCCCTGTATTAAGTAAAATTAGTCTTAATATAATTTTGTTAGGTTAATCATGCCTCTCCTACGTGTTTTTTAACTAATTTAGATTGCAACCTAGTTTTACTTAACAAAAATTTGATTAAATTCTCGTAGAAACTAATTATATTGAATAATTCATTCCAAAACCATTTTTACTTCGACTTCTGACACCTTTTACACTCTTTTTTTATTTAGCTTGGTAGGATATCTTTCTTTTATTTTTATTAGACAAAAATATAATCACTTAATAACTCATGCATTTGGATTGAAATGGTTTTGTTAACATACTATTATAGAGTTTTAATGATTAAATAATTATAAATTTAAATATTATTTTTTAATTAAAATTAGCACAAGAGAATTTTAAAATTAAGAGGCTTTCAAAATATTAAATCATATTTTAAAGTATTATCTAATATTATGATGTATATTTGAAAATATACATTCCATTCATAAGGAAAAACTAACATTTTAGGAACTAAGCGATTGAGTTTATTAGGATAAATTACAAAATGAAATAAAATAATAATGACAAAGAATATAATTAAACTTCTAAATCTTCAAAATAAACCTTAAATCTTAGGGTATATCGATTCAGAAAAAAAAAATTTGAAAGTTTTAGAACTAAAATAAAAAGTTCTTTAGATTTTAGTGACGTTATATCTAGTGGCTCCGCCAGAAATCACAAGTTTAAAGAATACAAAAAACTCGAATACAGTCCTCTCCTCTTCTTCTTTTTTTTTTTTGCGCTTATTCAAACCCTCTTAGATTAACATGTTTTTAAGTTTTTAATTTTCAATATATTTTTTTTAAAAAAAAACATCATTTTAGAGTAACACTACATGGGTTGGTAAGTACTACTATATGAATATTATTTTTGGTGTCAAAACATTTAGGGTGATATTGAGAAATTTATAAAATTTACAATCTCTACATATTCAATGTTAAGCTTGTAGTAAAAGAAATTCAAATGACTTGTATTTTGAAGAATAAAATAACAAATGTTTAGACATTAACTAAAGAACTAAACTAACTGAGGTCGATTTTATTGTTCATGTAAAAAGTTAACATTCTCCTTCATTTGGTTACTTTTTTTAATTTATTTTTATTTTATTATTTAATATTTTTTATTATTTTATCATTTATTTTTATTTTTTATAAAATTATCATGTTCTTAAATAATTTTTTTATAATTTAGTTCCTGCTTGATTTTGAGTTTTTATTTTAGTTAATTAATATATAATTAATATACCATCATCCTAAGTAAAATATAATTTAAGAAAAATATAATTACTAAGTTGGAATCAATAAACCATCATTCTAATATTAAAAAAAATTATTTTGATCTTTTATTAAAATCAAACCATGTTTTTTTATTAGTCTTCCAAGGTTTTTTTTAACCAATTAAGTTAATAATTTTATGTCAGAGAAAATTTTACATAATTTAATTTTAAATTTAATCTAAATAAAAAATTAATTTATTAAAATAAGTTTAATAAAAACATCAAATATTTTTATGCAATCTGAAATTTTCTTTTTAATTTTAAAGAATTTTTTATCCGACATGAAACATAATGCAGGACTGAAGCATAACGCGGGAGAGTGAACTAATAATGCACTATTTTCTTGTACATTCAGAAAGGTTCTAGATCGAAAGCTCTTGGAATAACGAGAATCTGATTGAACTACAAATAAATTACTTGTTTTAAATTAATAAAGATTCCCATTAATTTTCATAAGCCTTGTTTCTTTAAAAAAAAACCCAAATGGTTAGATTTTGTACACCGAAAGAGGTTGGGCCGAGCTCCATAGGATACTTATGAATCGAGTAAATAGATGGACGTAGAATTAAATGGGCATGGACCCATAGGATTGAGTAGGCTCAGACCCAGAGTGATACAGCCAATCAAGAAACAATATTGATAAGGTTTGTGGTCAACCTTTAGGCGGAGTGGTGCTCCGCTGCTACCAGTACTGTAGGAGTAGGAGAAACAGAAATCAATGACCACTTATGCAAAAATTGTTGATTTTTCGTTCTTACCTCCCACACAGAACGGAAGCAATTCGACCATTTCAGTTTAAAATCCAGGCTCAAGGCAAGAATCTTTTTGGTCAAAATAGCTAGTTACTTGTGCTCATGGGAAGAAAATGGATTGAAATGATTCAAAGTCTAGCCAGAAAATCAAAATTAATGCGTGGGTGCCTGTTGGCGTCTGAGAAGGGAACCGCCGACATAAAGTAGAAAGTTAAAGGCACCTGTGGCATGCCCCTCGTGCTGCGATGTCTTCTAAACCAGTCCATGAACACTGAACTTCTATCAGTTTTAGAAGGAGAGGGACGGCATGCCCCTTGTGCTGTGCCAGCCCAGGAACATTGATTTTATATCAGTTTTAGAAGGAAGGGAAAACAATGAGTAAAGGATGAGTAATTCCGCAACAGATCCAATCTGGATGATTGATACAATTTTATGCAAGAAAGTTCGCTAGATTCTCTTGTTATTTTAGAGTGAAACAAGATGATCATCTCCACATGAGATCTCATATGCTTTGTTTTATTTTATGTGCAGGAACTAGTCACTAACCAACGAATATAAGTTACAAAAAAGCGCACGGAACAGAGACCGCAGACCCAGAAGCTTCGTGCAATTGATTGATAACATAGCAAGTAGCGACATCTAGATTGCTCTCTCCTGCTGCACCATTGGCTGCATCTGCTGCTGCATCCTTTCGAGGTTCAAGTAAGAACATGATTGTGCGATTTCGCCAGCCAAAGGGATCACTGGGAGGTTATCACAATCGCAAATCTCAATCATAAATCCATCAGGGTCATGGAAGAACAGCTGTTCAACTTGGATCCCACCTTCCTCCACTAAAGCTCGAACGTGCTGAATTCCCATTTCTTTCAACTTCTTCTCCACAGCTGCCATACTCTCACACTGTATACGACAGAAGCTAACACATTTACATTTGCCATGCATGTCTCTTCTTTTTAACAAAAACAAGCTACATGTTTTAGTAACTTCTTGACTAAATGATGAAATGACTACATATTGGGATTCTCGACAGCCATCTTCCACGAGTAGGAATCAAATATGGGATGAGGACAAGGTTAGGTATTATCTGTCCCAACGTCTGACTAACTAAAGAGTTGGCAAAACCCGAATTGCCTTCGACAAACTATAGTGATGGGCCATCCATACAAGAGAAACACAGACACACTGAAAACTCTGTCGATACCAAATATTCTCTTAACATTCTTGATAATAATCGTTGCCATCTGACTATACGTGATGCAATTGCCTAGTGAAGAGACCAAAGTACAGCCATACTTGTTATGAACAAAGTGAGAAAAAAAAAAATTTAAATAATGTATTGGGTGTCAGAATGACCCTCCGGATTCATGTATGGTTAAAGCGAGACTACAAAATTATAATTGCATGCTTAGCGTTTGCTTCATCTTATGGCTTTATCCAGGTAATTGACCCCTTCTAATTGCAGGGACAGCACAAAACTATTGTGTCCTTTATTTATTTTTTAATTGTCTAAACTATTTTTTTGTTTTGTATAAAAACCAGCAATTTTGTAGTTATCACTCAAATGACGTCGTCACTTTTGGAACCACCCTATCATGGACGGGCAATCTGATGTTTGAACATCCACCAACCTAAGTGAGGGGTCGAATTGATGTTTATATATATAATGGAAATCATTTTCATATCATTATCAAACACTTTAATTCCGTTTTGAAATTTGAATGAGGTTATGTTTTAAAATATTTTTTATTTTGAAATATATTAAAATAAAGAAACCACGGTTCAGTCGGAACGGAAAACAGCCTGCACCGGCAACGAGAAAAGGAACAGACAATCGATTTACGCAAGAAACAAACACAATTGAGGATCTACGTTGAGCTTAATAAGATTGGACATTCTAATTATTTACCTGGAAAGAGATATGATTGTCCTTGGGATTAATTTTACCTTTCTTCTGCATCTTTTCTGGGTTTTCTGACTGCAATAGATGAATTCCAATTCCATAACCAAATAACCTAAGTAAACAATTAAACAAATTTAAAGAAGAACAGCGTCAAAAAAAGTGGTGCTTTTGTGATCTCCTTATATGTCTGCAAGTAAGGAATTACTTACCATGCCCCATCAAAGTTAAAAGATCCTGGCCTCCTTATCGGCACAAAACCAAGAACATCCTCATAGAAATCAATGGATTCCTCAAGTGATTTGCACAAAAGTGAGATGTGGTTCAAAGACTTGAGATGAAGTGGGTTTCCCATACTCCTTCAGTTTCAAAAGAGCACAACTCCAAGAACAAAAAGAAAGTAATGAATCAAAAAGAATAAGCAGAACAAAGAAGGGTTAGAAGGACTTCTACAAAGAGTTATTTGAGCTTGTCACTGCCACCTTCAGCTGTGATTTGTGTGAGGACATCATTTTTCGGTTTGATTTATAGAAAAAAAACACAGGGGAGGGCAGAAGAGATGATCTCTTCATGCGCGCCACGTGTCGCTGTAAACGACCTGTTGGATTTGGATTATTCTGACACGTCAGAGTCTACATGCTGAGTAGGCTCCTCACCTACTCTATTGGCTCACGGGCATGTACCCTTTACCCACTACGATCCACCAGCTCCATTGCACGTAACATGCAGTCTCACACGCTCCCAAGGAATACACACACACACACACACATATATATATATATATAGAAGCTCTGTAAATTTAGAAAAAAGAAAATAATTATTTGAGAGAAATCTTGAGTGACGTGGAATTTGTATAAATTAACACAGCTATATATGGATATTCTTGCAATTCTCACTATAGAAATATATATATATATATAATTAGACCGTGAGATATTAGTAATTGATAAACGAGAAATAATTTGTAACCTTTTTTATAAGTTGAGATTTTTCATCGTTCACGTAAAGGGCGTATTTATCCTAGAGAGAGTTCCACGTGGGTGGTGAGAGTTGAATGGGTACGTTACAGACTTGTCTCGTGCTTTGACTACTGTCTTGATAACCGTCGTCGAAAACTTTTCTTTTGCTAAATAAGAAATAATTAAAAAAAAAAAAAAAACTACATCTTTTGGGAAATTGTTGTCCGTCAAGACAAGAATACTATTCTTTGTAATAGGATTACAATAATATCGTATTTCAATCATAAAACTTTTAAATTAGACACTGGAGAAATAAATAAATAAATAAATATAATCTTTTTACCATGATTTAATTATTATTTTCAGATTTTGCATGGATATACAAGTCTTTTTATTTTTTGGCAGAAGTAAAAAAAAATTTTACCCCTCTAATAAAAAAAATTGAACTTCCATCTAGGGGCTGTTTAGTCTTTTGCTACGCAAAATAAAATAACTTAATTATTTTTAAAATAAAATACATTAAACTATCTTTCAAAAGCTTTTCGGTTCTTTTATCCTGATTTTTTGTTGATATTGAGTTGATTTGAGGGTATTTTTGTATTTGAATATATACTAAAAATTATTTTAAAAAACCTTGCACTGCAACAAATAAGCGATGCATGCAGAGCCATTGGTGACCAAACATTATCTTTCATGTTAACGTTTGAATCATTTTAGTTTCCCCACAATAATAAGATGATACATGTAACTAGCAGCTCTCTAATTTAGCTTTAATAACCTTTTTTTTTCTCTTATTTTCTTTCATCTCCTTAATTTTTATGCCATTCCTTTTAGAATTGCAAGCTATCCCTTCACTTTTTTATTCCTTCATATTTGTTTTTTTATTATTATTTATTTTATTCAGAATATTTTTTTTATTTTTTAAATTTACTTTTCATTCTTTTGATTATTATTTATTTTATTTAAAATAATTTTTCCATCATATTTGATTCTCATTCTTTTGATGAAAATTGTTTTTTTTTTTTTTGCTTTGAAATTTTTTTTAAATTGATATTTTTTATTTCATCTTTTAATATTAAATTGGATCGGAATTGAGCTTTTTGATTGATCTTGCATGTAGGATTTTAGAGATTGCAAGTTTGAGAGATTAACCCAAATTTAGGAGGTTCACCTAAGTTTTCTTAGTTTTTTTTTGTTTTTTTTAAACTTGTATTTTTTTAGTTTCATCTTTTAACACATTTATTCAAATAGAGATTGGGCTTTATTATTTTTTATTTATTTTCTTTCTATAAATTTTTGACTAATTTACAAAATAACTCAATTTATCTCATTTTTTTATTTGTTGTTCTTTGTTGAATTTACTATGATAATTTTTTTAATTTAATTTTATTTTATTTTATATTTCAATATTAAATTAGTTGAAAGTTAATTTTTTTTTCTAGTTTCATTCTACAAGATTGGAGTTTTTTCATATTAGGCTTCATCATTTAATTTATTTTTTTATTTATTTATCCCAGTCTCATAATTTAACCCAAGCTTTGACGACTTAGTTTGGATTGACTTAATTTTTTTAAGTTATTTTTTATTTAAGATTTCTTATGTTTTATTTTTTAACATTGAATTTTTTAAAAAAAATATAATATTTTTTATGTTATTGTAGGAATCCACAACTAAACAATGAGGAAAGTTATATTAGATGCAACAATGAGAATCGCTATATGTTTTAGTTTTTTTATTAAAAAAATTAATAAATTGCTCTTTTTTTTCTAATGTGGGGTATCTTGCTTTGATTGAAAGACAAAACAAGTCCTTTTTAAAAACAATATGTTTTTTTTTAATTAATAGATGTTATCTTAAAATCATTTCTAAAATTAAAAAAAAACAATTAAAAATATTAATTATTTACAAAATAATCATATTACAAAGAAAAAATTAGCCTCTTGATTTCACTGCAAACCAAGGAGAAAGTATTATAGTTTCGCACAATACTTTTCTTTTTTAGGCTCTCGGAGAATTTTCTACTCCATTCACCAATTTTTTTAATTTTATTTTTCTATATTATATTGACTTGGATTTAAACTTGATAATGTTTTTTGGTTAGCTTCCTATGGAGTTCCTATAATTTTCAAAAAAAAAAAATCGTTACATTGAGACAATGCTTAATTTGGCAAAATATAATAAGATTTTATTTCTTAAAATAATGGAAACTTCAAGGGGCGTGATTTGGAATTTTGGTCCTTAAGATTTGTCCTTACTTCATTTGTTTTCCGTTTAAATCCTTGGATTTTATGAGAAAAAAGAGAGTCATTGAAAAATAATAGGGGAGAGAGAAATTAGCCGATTAATCATATTTGAGCAACCCAAAAAAAAAACAAATTTTTGTGTCAATAAGTTATGGTTATCAAGAGGAGTGTTATTAAAATGTTTTTGAGTTTTTACATCATTAGAGAAGGTAAATTAGGATTAAAAAAAACTGGCTTAATTCTAAGTTTTTGGATTGATTTAAATGTGTTTATTAGGTTTTTCTAGGTGAAAAAAAGTTAAAAATGGTTTATTAACTCCAAAGAAATTCATTTCAATTTTATGACCATCTCTCTAGTAATCAAAATATATACAAGCAAAACCATCTACGTGGTGGCCAAGTGGTAAGGATTTGGGATCAAGGGGTTTGCTTCCTCTGTGGTCTCAGGTTCGAGTTCTTGGTTGCTCATATGATGGCCACTGGAGGCTTACATGGTCGTTAACTTTAGGGCCTGTGGGATTCGTCATGGTGCGCGCAAGCTAGCCCGGACACCCACATTAATCTAAATATATATATAAGCAAACAATACATCATATGTTTATATATAAATAAATTTGTTCACTCTTCGAGCACCAAAAAAAAAAAAAGGTGCTTGTGGCCTCTTCTTGCAAGCTAATATGTGATAGGCTTCTTTCTTCTAGGTCAAACATGAGACCCCATCTCTTTAGCTTAGATGCCTATTTATTTCTTCAAATTATATTTTTTATTTTAATTTTTATCCCCTTTAAGAAACGACGTAACATGAAATTTAAATTATTGTTCAATTTTTTCCATGGTTCTTGAATAATATTATAGTATAGTGTAGGAATGTTAACAATTTTCTTTTCAATTATTATATACTTAATATGAAGAAAAAAACAATTGCTTATGAATATTCAATGAAAATAAAAGTTGTATATAAAATTTTTAATTGAATTCTTATATTATTTTATCCTCTTTATTAATTTTTTTTCCTTTAATCATATATAAAATATTAAGACATTATTTTAATAGTTTTAAAAAATAAATTTTGAGATCATGATAGTTTTTAATTGAAAACAATGCTTGTAATTAAAAAACCTACTTTCATTAAAACAATAAAGATATAAATCAACAAGAAAATAAAACCTCAATTGAAGAATTTTTTTTTTCTGTTTATTTGAAATGATTTAGGTTTTTAATGAACTTTTTTTTATTGTCTCTGTCTCCTATTCAAAAAATATGCTCTTGATAAAAAAAAGATTTATATCCTTTTTAGATAGATTAATACTTTTTCATGATGATATTATCAATTCATTTATAGATGATTATATATTAGGCTCATATACTAATTTTTTTAAAATAATTTATTATTAATATTGAATGAGAATAAAATATATGTTTTTCAATTTTTTATATAACCTTTTGAAATGTATTGTTCTCATTTTTTAAGATAGTTGCGTAGAAATTATTCTTGTTTTTTTTTAATTTTCTAATTGAACTTTCCTAAACATAATGAGTTTTTGCTTAAAACACCACACTACTTGTAAAATAATGTTTTAGCAAAAGTTAAAAAAATGCATGAATAAAAAAATTAGTTTTTTATTAAAAATATATGTTTTTTTATTTTATTGTAAATCATTATAGTTTTTTCCAACATGACTGTTGTTGTTTTTTGTTCGATGAACTATGCTGCTAATAAAAAAATAACTTCTATTAATTAGAAAAGATAATTTCAATGAAAAAAATACATTTTTCATTGATGATTGTATTCATTGCATTTCTTACAAATATTTATTTTTATAATAATTTAAATAAAAATTTTAAAAAGCAAGGTTATTAAACTTAGTTAGTGTCATGACTGAAGTAACAAGTTGGGTGAGTTTTTTAGGTTCTTGAAATTCATACATGTAATGAAAATGATAAATTTAGAATAATATTAAGGAGTTTCTGAAATCTTATTAGACATATTTAAAATTGTTTATGGATTTATTATCTGAATATCTGATTTTTTTCAGTTTTGGATAATTCTTTAAAGGTTATAATGTCGTAAGTCACAAACCATTTAATTATTTGACCTCTAATGATAATTCATAAGAACTACCTGTGATAAATCTTTTAAATTTCTATTTAGAAGAGAGTAATTGTTATTCAGAGTGTTAATTCTTTATTTTGTGACTTGCATAGTTTTTTTACTAACAACCATCCTTATAAAAAAAAAATAAGAGAAGTAGCTTTATATTTATATGAAATCCTAAAAATCCTATAAATGGAAAAATATTTATTT